GTTTCGCAACTTAAGGTTGCCAAGTTCAGATTGGTGACTTAAGTTTCAAAACTTAAGGCTAGCAATTTAAGTTTGGCGACTTGACTTTAGCAACTTAAGGTCAGCGATTTTTAAGTTTCGCAACTTGTGGTTAGCAATTTAGGTTTAGCGACTTAAGTTTAGCAGCTTAAGGTTACCAAGTTCAGATTAGCGACTTAACTTTAGTAGGTCATCGATTTAAGTTCAGCGACTCAAATTTCGTAACTTATGGTTACCAAGTGACTATTAGCGACTTAAGTCCGCCAAGTAAAGGTTAGCAGGCCGAGACAGGTGATCATGACCCCGATGACACGAAGTCAGACCCGGCACCATCTTCACAATGAACCGTGACGACCGATTGGGGTTGGAGGGCGAGATGCTGGCGAAGCAGTTTCGTAACGCGGACGGTATAGGAAAATGGATGAATATTGAACAGGAAAGGAAAATAGTACGGCAATAAAGCGCGATGAATTGCTCTTTATAAATTATTCCAAGGCCCGGCGCAAGTTTTTTCCGCGGCGACGATATCTGTGCGTCGTCGCGCGCATGATATTATCCTGGCTGCACATTGTCGGGCCAGCAAAAGAAACGTTCGACGACAGTTTTTGCGGCACGCGGCCGACTGACCTCTCGGCGTTTATCTCCCGCCGATTTTGCATAGTTTTCTGGCCGGGAGTTAGGTGAACCAGTCCTTTAACACCGGCGTCACAAGATGTCACAAGCTGACCCGTTCCAGATCTCTGATTCTAGAACGATTAACCCTCATTCAACACCTGTGTATCGGATCTGATTCCCCCGTTGGATGGATCTATAAATAAAGTAAACGATGACGACATCCCAAACGCACCTATTTTCATTAACAATGACATCGTGACCTTAATATCTCAGATTCAACGCAATTAATTGTTTCAATAATCGGAACGGAATGTTCGCGACTCTGTCACAAAATTATTGTTTTCAACGATCGCGACGAGCGATCAGGATGTTAAATGCTCGATTATGTATAGATCAGAGACGAACGTTGATTACGGTTCGACGCAATGAGTATATATTGTTGATCGTGCTTCCTCGATAAAAGTAATTTGCATCGTAACTCGGTCGTCCGAGATTGAAACGTTGGACGAGTGTCATAATGGGTCCAGATAAAGTGCAAATAATCTATCTTCTATTGTTTCTTATTTCGTTCGATCTCTTGTCGCGATTGTCGTATCTTTTATATTCAAATTCGCCGCCATTGCGCAAGCCTTCCGCAGATATGGCGCGCTTTTCAAATTCAGATATCCGGGAAGTCCGCAATGTTCGCGCGACAACGTGTAATTTCCGTTTTTAATCGAAGCCGCGATGGAAATTCTAACGGAGACGATAATTGTCGGCATAAATGACTGATTAATATACGCGAGCTACAGCTGCCGGACTATAGTTTTCAACGTATCGCCACGCGATGTTAGCTTGCTTTATGCAACTAGTTAGCCTGCGTGTGCAATAAAATGGCCACGAAACAATATTAATGACGGCTGTCGGCGAAGTTTAGCAATAAATGTTGAATGCTCAAGATTTAACGTTATCGGGGCTTCGGCAGCCAGCACGAGGCCTTTTCGCAATAGTTTATCAGGAATATTCAAATATTATCTCAAGGACCTCGAGTACTTTGCATATTTAACCCCGCGGTGACCCAACTTGTTATTTTCACCTCGTAAAAAAAGAGAGAAGCCGCGTCTTATTGTTCGAAGGCTGCTTCGCTTCGACGGACAGGATCGAATCAAAAATTAATTTAATTTCCTTGTTTCGGCGAACGATCGTCGATTAATTTACGGATTGGTTTAACGCTAGATTTACGGAGCACAAAAAACAGCTGTTTCATGTTACTTTATAAAAGTAACAATAAGATATTTATTCGGATTTTTAACAAGTGTTATCGTAACATTTGCCGTGAGTAACATATAAATTGAATAAATAACTCGTAAATGTACCTTTACGATATAAATAACTCGTAAATGTACCTTTACGATATAAATAACTCGTAAATGTACCTTTACGATATAAATAATCGTAAATTAAAAAATTAGTGACCCGTCGTTTTGACGGATTCTAGTGTTAAACCGTGAACAATTTATTTAAACGTTCGCGCGGTCTGCGAATAAATTGAAACATCGACTCAAGGGTTGATAACGTCTTGATAAATCTCGAATCGAGAAGTTGCCAGTCCTCCAGATTGTTAATCTCAGAGTTGAAAATTGATTTATGAATGGACGCCGGGTTTCGAGGCAATGTTTTTGCCGCGGCACGGTAGCACACAATCGTTAAATCATTTTATGTGCTCTGTGCGACAGATAGGGATATTGTAATGAGGATATTAATATGTAACACTCGTCCAGATAGATGGATTCTTAAAAATACGAAGTCGGAACAGAGTGAACTTATCGTTTGCATAATTATTTGATCTGCATTGCCTGCCCAAAATAGAAAGAACACAGTCGATCGCGTTAATATTATTGACGCGAACTTATTAAGAGAATGAAGAGTTGAAGGAAATGTTCGAAAAATGTTTGAGTCGCTTTGAATAATTGATTTTACAAGTTGTCGAATGCAAATATAATAAATTCTCCCTAATTGATGCTCAGTTTGACTCAGCTGACTCAGTCGACACTCACAATTTGGGAAGAGGAGACACGATTATTCGAGTCTTTTGGTTCATTTTTATAGTTGTTGGCAATTGGTAATTATAAAAAACGAGCCGCAAGGCTCGAATAATCGTACAATAATTTCTCCCTGATTCGCGCTCAGATTGCACACAAAAATGGACAATTTGAGAAGAGGAGATACGATCGGTCGTGTCTTGCTCGCAATTTACCGATTAGTTGCAGTTCGTTTAATTATTTGTTCAATATATGTTAATTGATTTTATGTTAATTAGTTCGTTTAATATACAGGATATCCCAAAATTGTTGGATAAACGGGAAATAAGGGATTCTTGAAGTCATTTGAAGTAACTTTTTCCTTAGCGGAAATGCAATCCGCGGCTTCGTTTACGAGTTATTAACGAAAAACGCTGACCAATGAGGGACCGTGTACGGCTCTCGCAACCATTGCCGCTGCGTCAGGCGAGCAGCGCGACGCCGCATTGGCCGCAAGGGCGGGGCGTCGGCCGCACTGACTCTCCGATTGATCAATGTTTTTCGTCAATAACTCGTAAACGAAGCCGCGGATTACATTTTCACTAAGGAAAAAGTTACTTCAAATGACCTCAGGAACCTCTCATTTCTCGCTTGTACAATAATTTTGGGATACCCTGTATCTAGTTATAGTCGTAAGGCTGGAATAAATGTCTTAAATATTCAGCAAAAATAAAATTCCGAGATTTCTTCTATGGCCAACAAATAAAATTGCAAAATATTTTTACACATACGATAAATAAACTTCACAAAATTTTAAATATATAACGAACAAAATAATCGTATCTCCTCTTCCCAAATTGTCCATTTTTGTTTCCAAGCTGAGCTTACTGTAGTTATTTCACTGATTTATCGTAGTTACAGTTATCGATTTACAGTTAGCTTTCATTTAATTGTTATTTTTCGCTCGACTTTGACCGATTTGTGAAATCACCGCGATGAATTCGGTGCAATGAATTTAGATAAGTCGTTCGAACGAAACTGTACACGAAACCGGTAGATTAGTATTATCGGGGCTACGGACACACCGATCTGACAAGACGATAGGCAGCATTTCGAGAACATTTACCACGGACAGTGTCAACAGTGTTAACATCGACACGAAAATGTCGGGGGTACGTGTTACGATTACCCTAACAAACGGACATTTTCCTATCCAGAGCGCGATGGCGGCCTTATCGAGTCTAGACGGATAAATAATGATGTTTTGACGATAACAATGTCACTCACGATTCAAACGTGTTCCTTAAGGAAAATTCTGATTCATCTCGGAGCTGTCGAACCATAGATTTCGGAGATTATAAATACATATTTACACTTGTTCGATCAATACAGGATGTTGTATTTTTATTTTAGTCTAAGTTACAAGATGATTAACTAAATATAAAAATGAATTGGTATACAATCATTAAATTCAATTAGAATGTCAATTTATTTTAATCATCTTACAATGAGTCAGTAAAAATCGGTGCTGTACAGCTGATAAATTTTCTAATTGTATAGTTAGCAAATCTAATCTTAAATTAATTAATTAATAATTAAAATAATAAATATTCAAATTGTATGATTAGTAAATTTTACAATTGATTGTGTGGTCGATAAATTTGATCGGTATATAGCGAACAAATGTAATCGCTGTGTAGCTGTCAGATTTCATCAGTATACATATGGTCAATGAATGTAGTCAGTATATAAACAATTATGATCGATGTATAATCGATAAGTTTAATCTGTATACAGCCAATAAATTTAATCGGTGTAAATTCAATAAATTTAATCAGTGTCTAGTCAATAAATTTAATCAGTTTACAGTCAATAAATTTAATCAGTGTCTAGTCAATAAATTTAATCAGTGTCTAGTCAATAAATTTAATCACTGTTTCATATTTAGCCAATAAATTTGATCAGTTCAATAAACTTAATAAAGACTCAATCAGTCTAAAGTCGATAAATTCAATCAGTGTGCATGTACTCGATAAATTTGGTCAGTATGCAGTCAATTTTAATCAATATATAGACAATAAATTGAAAAAAATATATAAACAAATTTAACTTTCAATCTGACAATGAAGACGTTAACTTCTACACAACCCTAATCGTAACAATCGCATTATAGATTGCTTTATGTATTTATTTGGCTCAAAGAGTTTCCAGCTATCAGTAAATGATAATTAAAATTAATTGAACGTGTAACGTTTGTTTTTGGATAAGCAAATAAAAATATTATTTCAGGCTTTAACGACTGATCAAATATTTTTCTGTTGCGAAATGAAGTTGTACGATTAAACGAGTCCAATTAAAATGTTGCAGACACCGATCTGAGCATGGGAGCAGGTGCAGCAGGAGGCTCGGTCCTCGGGCTGCCAGGATCGGGCGTGGGTGGCGTTTTGTCACAACATTGCGCGATCTGCGGGGACCGAGCCACTGGAAAACACTATGGCGCCGCTTCCTGTGATGGATGCAAGGGTTTCTTCAGGCGGTCGGTCAGGAAAAATCATCTGTACACCTGCAGGTCAGTGCAACCATCCGTTCTCCGATTTTCAAACATTACAACAGAGTTTTCTTTATTGTTACTGCAAGTGTTCAACATTTTCTTCTTCAACATTGTAATAAAATTTTATTGTCGCAACAGATGTTCAATATTTTCTTTTTTCATAATTACAACTTTATTTTATTGTAACAGCAAATGTGCGCAATTTTTTCTTTTTTTAAACCGTAAGCAATTCACAAAATTGCAAACTCATAGTCATGTAACAAACTCATGGAACTAGAATGTCCATCTTTAATAAGATTCATAAAATTATAACAGTAACTCAATTCTCCTCTTTTCAAATAGTAGCAGCATTTTTGTNTATTTTATTGTAACAGCAAATGTGCGCAATTTTTTCTTTTTTTAAACCGTAAGCAATTCACAAAATTGCAAACTCATAGTCATGTAACAAACTCATGGAACTAGAATGTCCATCTTTAATAAGATTCATAAAATTATAACAGTAACTCAATTCTCCTCTTTTCAAATAGTAGCAGCATTTTTGT